TCCTTTGGAATGTCGTAGTCGCATTAGCTAATCATAGTCTTTGAACGACGCTATATTCAAATGTTTACCATTCACACTAATTCATCGATTAATTAATTCGTATTACGCCTCAGAGAGAGTATTGAAGGTTCTTCTATGTTTTCTTCTATTACACAAGTACAATTTACGGGACTTCGGTTCAGCATGCTAAGATCAGTAAACAAATGTAAAATAACATTTTGTTAATGGACGTTCCATTTTCTGAAACATCAAAATAGAACGTGTTAAAATAGTAAAGATAGTCAAACACAGTTTCGAAATTATTTTCTCAAAATCAAGGTATTCAATGAAGGAAATATTAATTTATCTTTCCAATTTATTTAAAATTGCAGAATTGTCTCAAAAAATATATCCGATGATAATATTAATTTAAGAAAAAATAAAAATGTAAAAATAATCGACAGTCCACGAAATTGAATCTAGAAAGAATTAAAGAAGTAATCTCTTCTGAATTCTACATTTAACAAACGTGTCGAAATGATCTGTTTGACCTTTTTTGTTCACAAATGCTGGAATAAGAAGATATCTTCGTGAGAGATCGTTAAACAAACTCACTTATTCGTTCGCACATGCTGCAAGAATGTCACTCTTCTAATTTTCACGAGCCACTAAAAGCCTGGACACACTTTTAGCGATCGTTGCTTCCGGCGACAAACCGAACAGGTTTTGTAGAATTAATTTTTTACATTCTCGATAACTGGAAGAATGATCGAGGGAGTATGCCATTAGATTTGCGATATCTCTTAAGAGGAAGGATTAAAAACAATACAAAAAGAGCGAAACGCCTGCAGAATATTTCGGACAATCGTCGATTTGAATCAGGAGGCGCGCCCTTGGACAACCAGTTCGAGGAAAGGTCGATTCGAGAGAACCGGGTATAATCGTCATAAAGGAGTTTGTTTGTTTGTGATAAGATGTGCTCGACTCTACCACAGAGTAACAGATACGATAACAGGCTCTATGAGGACCATATATGCGACCAGCTGAAATGGGAGCATAGCGTGTCTCTCGATTTCTCTGTTCGAAACGTTCCTGGAATCCTCTCTGAAATAGTCCCCGATCCGCCGATGAACGACCCGCTCGCGTCCATATAGTAACCTTTATGCTCCCAGCCTGTAATTCCTCCTCTGCGGAAAGCTTTCTAATTTATGTGCAGTTGCAATGCAACATTATAAAATCATTCGCTTTCCTTGGAAAGCAATTATCCTCAACTTTTATGGCTAAATAGCCTGAACGTGAAGCATTAGGTCACCTTTTCGGCTGACGACATATCATTCGAATATTCCAATGCAGCTGAACCAACACTATTGCAGATTCGTAGAACAATCAAGCTATAATTATAGTCCACAACGTCTGAAAACTAATAAAATTCGCTGAATCCGCTGGAACCATTAACACTGTTCACCAGAAGAATCAAAATGATCCAACTGAAATTCATTATTTTATGATTGCCGGAAATCTAAAGAAACCTTTGTAAAAAAAATTAATGAACAAATTGGTTCACTCGTGTCTTGATTTTCGGAATCTCGCAGCTCTTATAAAGCATTTTGGAAAACTTATTTTTACTGTTCGGTAATTCTTAGTATCAGCATAGAAAATAAGATTCTTTTTTATCTCAGTTTTACGATTTTTACTGTAAAAATAGAGTTTACCATAAAAGTCTGCAATCTAATCAAAACAAGACCAACATTACACGTGGGCACCAAAATACACATACGATTTTCTTAGAAATTTCCGGGAGCTGTATCTTCTCCATTACGAAATCTCGCAAGCTTCTTAACATGTTTAACTTAGACTTACTACATCCTTTATGTATGTACGTCAAGTCGTTGTTAGCATGATATATCTATTGGACCTTCCGGTAAGTCCGAATTAGATTTCAAGTTATTTTCTGTAGTGGAGGCACAAATGTTAGAGCAGTACCTTGGCTCTAATTTGCGTAGGTTGTTGAAACATTGAAGCTCTTACATTTTTTACGCACCTTTATTTCAATTTTATTGCTCTATTAAGTTGCTAATAAAACTAACAATAGCCGTATGTTATTTACTTCCGGCGCAGTTGGTTCGGTGTAGGTAAACTTTTGTGAAATAAATACTCGTAAATAGATATTTTTATCTCTTCATTTGCTACAGAATGTTGCAAATAAACGTTTCTTTGAAATTTCAGTTACAGGAACAAATAGTATTTTATTTATATGTTGTAACACTAACTTATTCAAATACTATTTTTAAATAAGTGTTTAGATTACATCAAACATTTGGAGTAGTATTTCATGATTTTTATTATTCGTTGTGTATAATGTATATTTGAAATAATAAGTAATATTTGTCCTGTTTCAATTTTGACTAATATACTTCAACTTATTAAAAATTTTACGCAACTCTGATGTTACCTTGCACATGTTTTACGTAAATCTCTTTGGAAACAATTTTAGTTTCTCATTAATTATTTCCAAGTATAGCGTTTGTCTTATCAGTAACGGTTTATCTATGTGGCGTTTATATCAGTATCTTACTCGTCCTTCACATTTTTCTTTCCTAATAGAAAAGTAACAATGTTTGATCAATGATCGTCAATCCTACAAATTGTTCAATTTCTTTAACAAGAGTTGATTTCTCGTAGCATTGGTTTCTTGGAACAGAATTTTTATAGACGTTTATCACGATAACAAGAATAAACGCCTGATAAAAAATGATTCCATGAAGAATCCTGAAATGCGAATTTTGTGTAGACATTCTCAAGGAAGCTGACAGTATCGAAAAAAGTGATTTCCGTAAAAGCCGGCGAGTTACCACGAAATATTCCCCACCAGGGGTTCCGTCAATGTACAATGGAGCGTATTGTGCCCCTAATAACGGAATCGACCTCCAGTCATTGTTCAACAAACATAAAAGCTTTCTGGAAATACTTGCATGCAGGAAGATTCGTTTCGAATACTGCACGAGCCACATTTGTTATCGGCACACATTCAATTGAGATAATTCCTCGGTCAGACTAAAATCGAACAACATTTCAGAAGATCTTATAAACATATTATAAAAGCGTTTTTAGATGCTTTTTATTAAATGTTTATAAAACCTTATAAAATGTTATCTCGTTGCCTTCGAAATATTCACGAGCTTTTTGGTGCGCTAAGAAACTTCACACTTGTGAATTTTATGATGTTTCTTTTTAAAAATTTGACACTTTCAAGATAAAAATTTAA